GGCGCAGGAGAGGAAGGCCCTCTATGAGGTGGATTGATTCAGTGACTGGGATAATTGGGATGGGAGTGTCAGAGACGGTGCGATTGGCACAGGACAGAGCGGAGTTTAGGGCTGTTGTACATAGGGTCGCTATGAGTCGCAGGCGACTCGACAGCACAACACTCGACAGCACATAACAACAACAATAAATATTTGTCATAATGGAAGCATTTAGTTTTCTTTAAGTGCTACTAACACTGAAGGTCTAAAGCTTATTTATTGTTCTTATCAATGCCATTTGAAAGCCAGTCCAGTTTTACATTTATCTTAAAATGAGATATATATAATTTGCTAATTACTGTTTTAACCATTTAATAAACGGAGCTTTAAGGTGCAAAATAGTGCTGAAGCACAGAGATAACAATGTGAGCCACAAAAACAAAGTAAAATAGCATCTTACCTTCCTCTGTTTTTATGCTACAAGTTAGAAATGTTCTACTTATCTGAAACATTCAAGTACTCAACAGTCAAATGTCACCAGTGGCACAAGTGGAAGAGCCACACAAGGACTTAAAAAAATGCTAATCTCTTAACCATACACACAAAGAATCTTGTAGGCTAACAAATTTTAAGAATAGCACTTTCAATCTGTTTATTCACAATTCAACCAAAAAAAATAAATGACAAGAATAAATTTCTATCAGTCCTGATTGCCAACGTTTGCTTGGTAACTCACACTCTGGGTCTTCCACTGAAGCTGTCTTATGATGTCAGCAGAGCAGCCTTGGTGATTAGGTTGCTTTGTGGTTCTGCCACCACACAGTACTCGTTCTGGCTCATTCTACCTTTTTTCCATCTCACTGGAGGACCTGGCTAAAGAACCCTGTCCTAAAAATCACAACTGGGAGAGCAGATCAGGACCATCCCAAAGGAAAGGCTGAGAAGAGGTGAGAAGGTTCATTTTCCAGGGAAAGGGGAGACTCACAGTAAAAAAGGCTGATGAAAATTCACTTCTATAGTAAGATGTGTAATGATCAGAAAAGAAACAGCATTAAGATTAACCTCCATGGGCTACTAGATATGAGAAAGGAGAAGGGAATAAGAATTAATAAACAGATAAGCTGGGTGAAGGGAAAAGTAATATACAGAAAATGGCTGATCGAATTATTACTAATAACATGAATCAATTGTAATTAACATTACAAAATACATATGCATGACTAAAAAGCCCAATATAATTTATAAATGTTCACTCAGAAAAAGGGGGGGGGGAAGCAACAGTTACAGCAATACACATTAGGATCTAGTTTAAAAAAAGGATGTACTTACAGGAACTTACAATAGGATCTGTTTAAATAATGGGATTTCTATGCTAGGTCAAGCTGAAGACATTGTAGTTACTCTGAGTCTAATTAAGCTATAGATAAGCAAATTTTCATCCCATAAAAGCTACGGAACTTCACAGAAGAGACAATTCAGAGAGTTGAGGCTCTGTGGCTAGACTTCTAGTTTCATTAGCTGTGTTAGTAACACTCAGGGAAGTTACTTAATCTAACTTTCACTTTTTTGTAAAACAGGATCAATAAAGGTTCATATTTCACAGATCGTGGCAAAGGTAAACCAAGACAATGAACTCAAAAGTGCTTACATAGGTGCCTGGCACACTGTTGTTACGTGCCTTTGCAGTGCATGAGAGAAACATATTATATACTAATTATTATTATTATCATTATTTATCTTTAGTTAAACAAGCTCAAAGACAGTCACTCCAGTCTATAACCCATTAGAACCTGGAAGTGAAAGGAGGTTCTCACATCAAATACAAGGACACATAAAGCTGCTATGTGATGAAAGGTATTATTTTGCTTTCAATTTATATATTCAACTAAATTAAAAATGATCGAGCTGTAAAGCTAAGAACTCTTTTCATTTTATTGTCTTTTCTTCTTTTTATACTTCATATGAATGATGTTCCTCTTTTTTTGTTTTATTTTAAAAACAGCTTTTATTACAAAAAATTTCCAACATCTATCAAATTCCTCCATCTCTTCTCATTGCTGCTGAGTCAGTTCTGGCTTACAGCTGACCCTCCAGCAGGCTTCCAAAGACGTAAATGGCACAAGAGCGCATCTTTCTCCTTTGGAGCAGATTCAAACCTCCAGAGAAGCACAGTTTTGTTATTAACAGCACAACCTTCTACCCACTATGCTACCAGAACGATGTATACTCATCTACCAAAGCAGACCACCACTGAAATGAACCCAGCATACAATCAACCATGACACTTTGCTCTTGTTATCCTCAGGAGTCAATTCTGTTTCCCAGTAGCATTACAAGACAGAGTACAACAGCTCCACAGGGTTTCTTAGGATGTAAGCAAATCAGGTTCTTTCTCCCCTAAAGCTGCAGATCAATCTGAATTGATGACCCCTGAGGGTCAGTGGCCTAGAACTTAAAGCAGTGAACCATTAGGTCATATAGAAACAATACACAGCTATTCTTGCTTCACCTCTATCTCCCACCCATGCCTCCTTCTCAGTCAAATCCTCCCAGTTCATCTCCTTAGAAATTTTATGACGTTCAGAATTTCTAAAACATACTTTTCTTTTTCCTAAATTTGTATACATTGTGTTTCAGTCTCCTTCACTGACATTATGTTTTATATAATCATTTTCATACACTATGTTTTATAAAATTAATCAGCATTGAACTATACCCACATAAATTATACCATCTTTTTAGGTCCCTGCCTGATCTCTCCCATTTCCTTTACTCCCTCCCTCTACCCACCAAATTATGTGACCTTGTGATTCCTTCTACCCATCCTCGCCACTCTGCCCCCATTCCATTTATTTTACTAACAAATTTGCTTGCACTAAACAAGTTTTCTATTCTTAAGAAAGTCTCTTAAATTCTTAATTAAAAGAAAGTCACTAATATATATTTCAATTATATTTATAAATTTGTTTTGACGCTTTTAACCTAGGAAGTGACAGATTTAGAAAAGAATAGATCTGTTTATCATAGCTGAAGAAAAAGGCTTAATAAGGTATTCGTCATTAATCTTAAAATCATGAAGAAAAAAAAGGGAGAGAAAAAAAAAAGCAACCCTTAGGGAATCCCACAGGTGGTCTTTTCATGAAACATAACTCTTAAATAAATAATTTAAAAGTACTACCAGCACACTGCTAAAAATTACTTGCCAAGAAACATATCTGAAATACAATTTTACCTCATTTTCTGCATGGAGATCAACTTCACCAGCACACTGCATGGAACTAAAAAAATTGCTGAATTTCTCATTAATTTTTTCCACCAGCTCTTTTAAAGGATTCAGCCACCTTTCTTTTACCTATCATTAAGGGCGATATGAAAACACAAAAAGAAACATTTTTGTATTCCACTACAAAATTTCTCATACAACAAAATTAATAGCTCTATCAATTTGGCCATAACACACATTACGCTTTTTTTCTCTTAAAATCTTAGCATTACATTTTCCATTATTCTATAGTTAGACATATGTAATAAAAAGAAAAGACAAAAGTAAACGATTACCTGTGAAATGTTTTCCCTATATTTATCCAGTTCAACTCTCTTTCTTTTTAGTTCCTCAGTTAACTGTTCTATTTCTTCTTCTCTTTTTGTGTATTCCTGAACAATCTGGTAGGAAAAAAAATTCAGATAAATCTACTGAAAGATAAAATTAGATACAATTTTGCATCAATTAAAAACTTAACTGAAAATATCAACTGTGTTGCATTATTTGTACGCAATTAATTTATGCTCTTCTAATCTACTGAAAATGTAATTTTTCTATCCTTGAAAAAATATTAGACATTGCAGTATTTCAGGTCAGCTCAACTATTCTTTTTATAAAGAAAAGCACAGAACACTGTGTTCCTTAGGAAGAATCTATTTAAAATTCTAATAGATTCAGAATCTGGCATTTAAAGCACATTGTTCCTGCTGTCTAGCTTATTATTACCAGGAGCTCTGGTACAGAGTGGGAGGCAAGTACTGGAAGAAGTGTGTGTGTGTGTGTGTGTGTACGTGCACATACGCCTGCCTATGTATAGAGGCGGTAGTGTCTGCTGCAGAATGGGAAAAGGGAAAGAAGCATACTGCAGGATTCAGTCCTGTGAAGCAAGATGCTCTCGATCGTTCTTCAATTAATAAAGCATCAATTTCATCCAATGTATTAGGAAGGTCTTGGAAAGCCTAAAAGAGAAAGAAAACGTCCATCATCACAGTATAATAAAAGTCTGATTAAAATCACCAAAAGAAAAATAATCTGCGGATTATTTACTACATGTTCAACAGCATGCTAGCACGCAACAATACAAAAAGGAATTATAAACAGGGTGTTCTGCCTTCAAAAAGTTTACACTGTAAGAAAACTGCACACACAAAAAATTTTTAAAAATCAACAAAAACAAAACAAACAAAATCAAAACAACAAAAAACCTGGTTAACACCTTAATGCAGTGAACTGATGCTGAATATTAAAATATGTGGTATATACATCATATACATGGAAACGAAGAGAAAAAAAAATCAGTTCATGCTATAGGAGAGTTAAGAGAATACAGACACCTAGAATTCAGCTCTGGGTCTTAAAGCGAATGGTTAGGGAAGAGCAGGGAACTACAACTAGGAGTGTGGAAAAAGAATGAGCACTGCATACCATGGGGGGTGAGGAGCTGTGTCCATTTGGAATGGTGGGTACTTGCTGAATTGGTAGAATGGGTCCAGAATATGTGGGGCATTGAAAGAGAGCAAGAAGTTAGAACTTTATACTGTCATTATGAAGAACCACAAAAGCATTATAGGAATCCAATTATGCTGACAGAAGTTCACCATAGTCCTATCTTCTGAGTCCATGCCACAGAGACAAATTAGCATACACACTTTTCTACAAAGGGGGGTAAACTAAGTATTTTGCCTGGCACAAACTGCAAAGCAGTTGCTATACTTACTGAAGACACAGAGCGAGTCTTGAATTACTGAAAAGGATCCTTAAACATTACATTATACCTTAACTCCCCCCATGTTTTTACCTTTAGGAAAGGAATTCATCAACTACCTCTAAAACGGGAACAAAACAAAACAACAAAAACCAGATCCAAAGCCCTTGTTTATCAGAGATCTTTAGGATGGAGGAGAAATGCCCAACAGAATTTCGAAGGGGCCGTTTTTACAGAGAAGCGTATTACCACATTTTTTACTTCGGAAGTGTAGCAGCCAGAGGCTCTGAACTTTGAATATCTTCATTAGCAGATGAACAATTCCAACCAAACAAACACTAAAAGCCATCCCAAACTCACTGTCTTCAACAACTCAGACATTAAAGGACAGAATACACCTGTCCCCAGGGTTTCCAAATGTGTAAATCTTCACAGAAGCATACTGCCACATATTCCGCACAATGGCCGACAAGTATGAACATTTAACCACTGTACCATCAGGGCTCCACAACTCTCTAATAACCAGTAAAATGAAAAGCCAAACCCATTGCCATCATGTCAATCCCAGCTCATGGCGACTCTCCAGCAGACCTCTGATGCTGTAAATCTTAATGAGAATAGACAGCCTCATTCTTCTCCCTTGCAGCTGCTGGTAGATTCAAACTTTCAGTTGGCAGTCCATAAGGTAATCCTTTATGCCACCGAGCCCCTTTGACTCTTGGACAGGAATCTTAAAGTGGTGAAACAAAAATCTTCATTTCACTCACCTTTCCTGCCGCTTTGTGCAACCTGTTTCTCACCTGAGATCACCATTACAGTAAACTCTGTTAGCATCTGATGAGGTAAAAAAATTTAGTTCTTTCTTGCTCTCTACCTCAAATTCATCAGCAAGTCCTGGTAGCTCAGTCATTAAAAGTTACTCCAAATCTGTCAGCTTCTCTATAGCTTCCACCCTAATCCAAATGACTATAAAATCTCTTGCTCAATAGCTTATCTTTGATATAGTAGCTGGAATGCTCTTTTAAAAAAAAATTACTCATTATCACTGTTAGAAATTCTCCAGTGCATTCTAGCTTAATATATACAGTAAGAGAGAGAGGGAGGGAGGGAGAGAAATTGATCCATCTCTGGTGGTGTAGTCTGAAGCTGACTGTGCTGTTAACCCAAAGGTGGCGCCTCTCTGCTGGTTCTAATCTGTCAATGGCTTTACAGGAGAAAGATGGGAAATCTGTGATTTACAGTCTCCGGAAAACTTGCTGGAAGAAGCCATGAGCCAGCTCCTACTCATGAATGGTGGTATGTGTATGAATGTATCTATAGTTCTCTCTCTCTGCACACATATATGTATACATATCTCTAATGACATATATCCCAAATTGCCAGTATGTTGTCCATCTCTCTGCTTGGATCTGAGATGTTTAGATCCATTGCATTTCTTTCTATTCCCACATGCCATATATGCTTTTGTTTGGGGGGGCGTTTGTACTAACTGTTCTCTCAAACCCTTCACTAGAATCAGAACTCATCTAAACAGCATGCTCTCAGAGGGGCCTTACCAGACGCCACTCCCATCACTGACAACTCTATTCCCTTACCTTGTTTTCCTTTTCTTCTCGGCACCCACTGCAACCCAACCTTATTGATTTTGTTACTGATTTAGGATTTTTAGTATGTCCCACCTTCTAAACTAGAAAATAAGTTTCTAGTAAAGAAGGTACATCTGTCTAGTTCAACGCACCCTGTATCAGGTCATAAGTATCAATTATCTAATTCTGTTCCTTTCTGAAAACAGTGTAATTTACCAAGAACTGAATAATGAAACTTTCTCCACTTATTTTATGATAGTATTAGTACAACTTATCTTACAAATATATACTGAATTTATGTATCCTGTCAAATTCATTCTCTTGTCTGTGTCTGCTATCACAGAATAGGAACTTTTGAAGGTGTGGAAATGATAATCCAATTTAGTTACTTTACAGTTCTGTTTATATAGTTAGTAGACAATCTACTGAAATGGGTAACATTTGAAATTAGAGTTGAAAAGCTATATAAATATTTAAACATTCATTTCCTATTCATTTATTTTGACTGTTTTCTCAGAGTAGCTATACAAGCACAAGGTCATTCTAATTTATCTGACAAAGCCCAGAGTTGCAAGTGATGTAACTATGGTGCAACTTGGATTAAAGGGTCATATTTCTCATCTGACTAAGTCATTGATATGTAAGCATCTAAAGTACAGTAACAGAAAAAAAGGCAAGCTTTTATCATTTTTCATTATTGGCTGATATTGGCCCTACAGATAAGGGGGCCTTGGTGGCATAGAGGGTAAGGAGTTGAGCTGCCAAAGCAAAGGGCAAGCAGTTCAAGTCTACTAGCTGCTCCATGGGAGAACAACAGACGATCCTTCTCGTGGGATCTAGTTTCAAAACTGCCACTGAGGTTAAAACCACCACAAAACCAAAACACAAAGAAATCCTCCAAACAACAACAATAACAAAACACCCACTGAAGCTATGAATCAGTTCCAACTCAATGGCAATGAGTTTAGTCTGGGAATCCCAGATTCGTCTTCTATTGATGCCGAATTTAGTACCCTAATTTCAAGGAAAACTTTTTACTCCCATTTCACTTTTCTAATTATCAACCCTAGTTACTATTTCTAACATAGTAGTTACTTAGACTTAGCTCTGGTGGACTAGTGACTCGGGAGCTATCAACCCAAAGGCAGGCAGTTTGATGCTCTCTAAGGAGAAAGATGGGCCATCTTCTCCCATGTGAGTTCTAGCCTCTGAAAACCAACTGCAAGTTCAGCTATGTGTTGGTTCTAACTCAAATAACAGGAACACAACAGACAACACATTTAAATGAAAAAGTGTGGAAGTACAATTTTTAGTTAACACATTTAAAAAGATTTAGTACGAAGTATTAAAACTATAATACTCAAATTTGTGTACTGTAGAGAAAATATGATAAACTAAATCATACTACATATTCACTTTAAAGATGGAAGAAAAAGAATCCCCAATTTTTCATGGTACATCAAGTTTTCTGTGATCTAGTACAATGCCTAACACATGGTGACCTTAAAAAAATGTTAAATATGGTATAGGAGGCATTAAATACATTTTATACTTACTGTCTGGTATTCTTGTGGAACAGTCTGCTCAGCACCAAGGTTACATACTTGCCTAGCTCTCTTCATGAGTTCCTTGCATTTCTGCAGTAATCTCTGTCTATTTTCATCCAACTCAACATAACGTTGCTATAATAATAAAAAAAAGAAATATTTAAAAAATCAGATTCAGATAAGGGTCTCATAATACTAAATTTACAGACTATGACAGGTCTACCACAAGAAAAAGACTGACAACCCAATAGCAAAATGGACAGACTCTTCACAGAGGAAGACATCTGGATGGCCAAGAGGTACCTGAAGAAATGATCAAAATCACTGACAATAAGTGGGATGAAAAGCAAAAACACCATCCCCCAGACACCAAGTTTAACACAGCAAACAATAAATGCTGGAAACGATGCAGAGAGACTAGAACTCTCCAGCACTGCTGGTGGATTTTAAGACGGCACACCACGCTGGAAGGCACTTTTGGACTTTTCTCTAAAAACTGAATGACAGTGATTTGATATGACCCTGGGAATATACTACCACAGGAAATCAGAACCAAGACATGAACAGAAATAAGTACACCTTTGTTTGGAGCATTGTTATTCACAATAGCAAGCAAACAGAAATGACATAAATATACACTAACAAATGAATGGACTGAGAAATTGTGGTACATTCATACAATGGAATACTATGCAGGACTCAGGAGCAATTATTTTGTAAAATACTATGTAACACGGCCTAGAGAACATTATGTTGAGTTAAATAACTCCGCTTCTAATGACAAATATTTAAGATCATTATTATAAAAATAGAAGGATAATGGCGTAAGATGTGTACAAATGTCCAAAAAAAGAGGAAAGGGGATAAGAAAAGGTGGCAATCAGTAGGATAGCAGAGTGGATGAAGGGGGGCAAAGGAATAGGAAACAGTCAATGGGGACTTGAAAAGATGGGGTAACAGCAGGCATAGATCAATAGTAATTAATGACATAAGTACAATGTATATGGTTATATGAAACCCAATGTAAATGACAGACTGTATAAAACACAATGTACCTGAATGAAACAAAGTATACAAATCATTGTAAACAAACCAATTAAAAAAGTTTAAAAAGGGAAAAGAATACAATGTATATGAATGATTGTTTTTCCACGTGTTTTTTTTTCATATTACAAAAGCACATTTTTGTTTGCAAATTGAGTAATTATAATCACAAATACTTTCCAAGTATCTTTCTTATAGTAATCATTTATTCAAACTCATTTATTACTTATAATTACTGAAAATCTATTTAATGTCAGTACCGTAATATATATTGAGCATAAAAAGGTGGACAAACATAAAATTAGCTACTATTTACTGAGTAGTTACATGTGTTAGACCCTTGGCGAGGTACTTGATTTATATTATCCCCTTAATTTCTCATAAGAACACTGTGTAATAATATTGCCCTTATTTTTGTTGTTGTATACAGCAGAGTTAGAACCAACCCATAGCTGACCCTCCAGCAGGTTTTCAGAAGCAGTTAATAGCACAGAGACTGCCCGTCTTTTTCCCACAAAGCAGCTAGTGGCCTTAGACCTTTGGGATTACTGTGCAGCCTCTTGCTACTAGGCCATCAGAGCTCCCTATTTTGCATATTAAAAACAAAAATAACTGCAAAGAACTAATGAGCTTGTCCAAGTTCCCAGCTAATGAATGGCTGTCAGAACTGACATCCATGCTTGCTTACGATGCTTTCACTCACGAGGAACACACTGGAAGGACTGTAGAGTAAGCGCTGAGAGTGGAAGAACGCTAATAAAACCTTCATCTGAT